TTGGTGTCTTAACCCCTAAACTGAAGTAGTTCTCGCTGCAATCATCAAAAGTAAAATAATAAAACACAGTAGTTAACAACAGATAACTTTTTTATTAATTAAATGTATATGCTCTTGATATCACTATTGGAGTGAATGTGGGCAATTTACAGAATGATACAAGTTCAATATAAAAACAGTTAAAATTAAGAATTTAATAGAGACTAAAACCAAGGAGAAGGATGTCACGGGGTCTTGTCTGTCAACGCCCTCCAGCATAGACCATCCCCAACAGGAAAAGCCAAGTGTTAAGACCAGAAGGATGGCTGCAGATCTCATCTCTGGTGGCACAATGTTTCAAAGAGCAGAGGCCACAAAGGAAAACCCTCTTGTCCTAGAGTAGACCCTGCAAGCCAAAATGTTCTCACCTAAGCTTCCCAAAATCATGAAGCAGACTCTTCATCCCAACCTTTTTATTTAGGCTAAAGTGAATTCCTCTCCAGCAAAGTCCTGGCAAACAGTCTTTCAAGAGATTTCACAATTACAGACCTTTATCAGCATTCGAGGCGTCGGCACTGCAGGCTCACTCCATTGACTGTTACACCGGAGAGGTGAAAGGGGCTCACTGGGGTGAGCCTGCGGAGCCGGCACGTCGAATGCAGCGGTGGCACATTGCGAAAGTAGAGCAAAGCTGCCTGCCCTGGGCTTCCTCAACCTTGCCCTGCTCCAGGAAGGAGGGAACAGCACCACTGTCTATGACGTGAGTGCCCCGAGGGGGGGCAGATTGGGAGGCTGATCCCTGGCAGGAGGGGCACCCTGTGAACTTGCTGTCAGGCACAGCAACTACAGAGAGGGGTGGGCTTCACTGAGCAGGATCCTGGATATTGGGCTAAGTGTCAGTGGGCCATGGGAGCCTTGTCAAAGCAATCAGTGCCAGCCCCAAATCTGTGTCAATTACTAGTGAGAACTGCACTTAACCCAATAACAAGCCTAGATCATATAGCTGGTGATTTGTCTCAGGCACTTTAAGAGCACAAAGGCAGGCAAGATGTACTATACCAATGAACTTAAACGATAGAGAACTAATGCCCAGATTTCCTATTCAATGAGGCACTGAGAAAGAAGAAATTTCTGAATATAATAAAATTGATGGGTCAACACCATTAAGTTTCAATCTGGAGCCAGTAACTGATTTCTGGGCCATTTACAAGTATAATCAATACATAATTAAAAGAACCGATCTTCCACATATTCACTCTTTGCAATAATTATCTCACTATCTTGATGGTTAGATATCTTCAAGGCAAGTTAAGTTCTCGGCTGATTTCAGGCACACATCTAGATGGAATTTTAAGACAATGATACAGAAGAGCTCTTACTGAAAAAAACATATATCCAGGCAAAAAACCCTGGAAATCATTTCTGCAATTCCTTCCCTTTTTCTGTAAAATTGGAAGTAAGTTCCTAGCTAGGAATAATATTTTTTAAAAACATATCTTTGATATTATATTATACAACTCTCCTCTGTGCAAAAAAAAAAAAAAAAATTTTTTGGGAGGGGGTCTGGCTTTATTAAGATACCTGGTGTAGGTCAGGGGTGTCAAATTCGCGTTGTCACAGTGGCATCACATAACGTATCACATTTTCCCCCCTTTCACCAAACCAGGTGTGGGCATGGCCAGCGTGTGATGCATCCGGCCAGTGGGCCGCAAGTTGGACTCCCCTGGTGTAAGATTACACAAGTGTGCCCACAGTCCTTTCGGTGGGTATGTTTTCTTTCTTCCTGTAGGGTTTCGGATGGTCGTCTTCCCTGTAGGTTCTCTCAAGGTTATAACGACTGTTGTCCCGCTGCTTTTGAAACAAGCGGACCTCCCGAATGGTGAGAATGCAGACCACCAAACTTCCAAAATAGAGGCAAGCAGCCACCAGGCCGAAAAGGGCCACGGATGCATCCCCGCCTTGCACGCTGCAATTCGTTGAGGTGTAACCTCGCCTTGCATATAGTCTTTCTCTCTTTAGGCACACATCCGTGGCGTTGACTTGAATGATGAAGTTCAGATAGAGGCCAACAGCCGCTATATAACCAAGGCAGGCGAGGATGTCGAAGAGACACTCAGCAGCAAGCAGTCCAAGGGAAAGGCGATGAAGAGGCTTTGCTCCACCAATGAGAAACAGAAGCGTTAGGCACATCATTGTCAGGCTGAAGGCTATCCCTCCATATACACAAGGGGCTCTCATCTGGCTGTACTGCATATCCAGCTCGGTCACCTCTTGGAGTTCAGTCCCCTGAAATGGACTATACATTGAGTCGATGCTGAAAGAGCCTAGGCCGCCCAGAGAAGTGAAACCAGAGACCCCCGCCTGGGTTGCTCCTATGCAGATCAGCACCAAAATGTTGACAGTGACTTCGACAAACTGCAAGACACCTGCGGGAGGAAAAGAAGGAAAGAGATGGGGGAATGAACGCCGCCGTGTTGGCTGTGGCTGTCATTCTGTAAAAATACAATGATATCGTATAATTGGGCAGTTTATTATTGCTACAGCTCTACCGTATCTCTCCTTCTGCAGAACTTCGAGGTGGGTACTTACAGCTACAAGTATCTCCTATAACAGAAAGTTAATGGATTGAATAACTGCTACTGGCACTTACTGCTAAAGATCAAAGATGGAAGGATTTTATATTTGGCTGCTGTCTCCTAGTTTTTAGTAAAACTGCTACATATGCTGTAGAAGTTGAGATGGCATGTCCTGGATACTAGGCTCATCTAAATAGACTCATTTGCGTGCTGTCCACTCACAGATACAATCTGCACTTTATTCTGTGAATAGAACAATACAGGACCATATAATAGGATCTTTTGGCCCTAACTGGGCTGAGCCCACATATTTTAACTTTTTTTTCCCAGATTAACTGTACTATAACATGTTACATATGTTGCTACAATTCAACAGATGAATTCTTGACAACTTCTTGGTTATGTGAGAGCTTCACACTCTCAGAGCAGTTCATCTGACAGGTTCATTCTCAAGTGACTCAATATCACATGTTTACTT